CATACATTTTATATGTCTCTAGAATTTCAGTTCTAGGTTATGATGATATTTTCCTGGTCCTTTTCACACAAGAAAACTTCACTAGGATATTGGACATCAGCAGTTGCTAACTTTGTCCAAACACTTCTGGAATTTTTCTACTCCATTTTGAATTTTCTTCCAAGTATATTTTCAAAGGAGGGTCTTTTATAAACATACTGAGGCTTTGTAAACCTGAGACTATGCCCCCACAATTAAGTGGACATTTTGCCTGGATATAAAATCCTAGGTTAAAGTTCTTTACCTTCTTGTTTATGGAATCTGATGTGGAATCTGATGCTAGTCCTACTGTTTCCTTCGTAGATGGCCTGCTCTTTTTCTCTGGAAGTTTTCAGAATTTATCTTTGTCTTTTTAAATCTTTGTTGTTTTAAATCTCATTAATAGTGTCCAAGCTGGAATTTTCCTTATCCATTCTGACACTCGTTATTACTGCAAACTTTCCTATTCTCGCTTTCCCCTGCCTTTTGGGACTTTTGTAGATGTTTCTACTTTTATTTCCATCCTCTAAACTCAGGTTTTCTAATTTTATCTTTTTATACATGGCTGCCTTCCTGGAGCATATCTCAAGTATATTATTATTATTATTATTATTATTATTATTATTATTATTATTATTATTTTCAGTTCACTGACTCATTCCCCAGCTGCACTACTGCAGTACATCTCATTCACTTTTGTCCTTTATTTCTACATAATGCTTTTATACCCAATTGTTGCCTTACAGCCGATTCCAAGACCGCCCCCTCTGCATTAGCCCCTGACCCTATTAGTCTTGAGAGAGTGTCTCGGTATGACCGAGGCCCGGTGGAATGATATCGGTAGATCTCTGGGGGGGGGGGTGTCTCGGTATGACTGGGACCTGATGGAATGATATCAGTTATCTCCCCTGGGAGGACACAGTAACGTCAGTGTCCTGGGGCTGTGTAGTGATGTATGAAGGCATAGCATTTGTTGGAGTACAATGGGGATTGGTTAATGGAAAGCAGCCTTAAGGCACACAATAACACATGGTTACTAATTCACAGCAGTTTTACTTCCTTGAAAATTTTCAATAAAAGCCATGCGTTGACCCGATTCGGGGCTCAGTCTTCTCTGGCTGAGTCCCTTGGTCTCGCTCTAATCTGACTTTTGTCTCTTGCTCTTATTCAATCTGTGTCACCCCTCTTGAGTCCCATTTGCCCTTGCCATGCAGGGTGTGACACCCAATATTTTTCTTTGGTATTACTTCTGCTTCACATTGCTAAAATATTCACTTATATCTTTTAAGAATGATTATTACATTTATCTTAAATTTTTATCCCACCCCTTCTAATAATTTGGCTTCAGTTGTTCAATTTGTGGTCTTTCTTCAATATTGGATGTACTTCTCAGGCATCTAGTTACTTTGAGTCCGAATTCCCCAGATAGCTGGCCAGATCAGCCCCAGAGCAGAGAATCTCAGGCATCAGAATAACTGTTTACCACTGTTTTTACTTCATCAAGTAATCTCTTCTGGTCAGAACTTCAACTTTAAACTCTAAGGAAGAAGTATCATGGAAGGAGGTATAACCCACTAGCTCTAGGGTTTGGAAGGAGCAGGCAGACTAATTCATAGCAACTCTCCCAGAGGACAACCAGAAAAACTGGACAAGGTACTAAATATGCTGATTGAAGCTACATGTGGGCATTGACAGTATTCAAGAATCGATTACCTACACTACAGCCATGCCCCAGAGCTGAACACAAGCAGGTAGTTGGTGGTGATGGGGCTTTGTGAGGGAAGGACTGCTGTCTCTTGCTTCAGAAAAATATCACAGGAACCCACCAGGTTAGAAAGAAGCCTCCAAAGTCTATGGTGAAGGTGATTAGAATTTCAGCCCCTATCAAAGATGGTGTCTATAACTACAGCATTGAGACCCTGAATTCTACAGAGCTTGCCAAGAATGAGCTGTATCAAGAGATGGCCAAGGTAAGTGAGAGGCACAGAGAGTGGGAAACAGTCAGATGTTTATACTCCAGACAGGGTAACAGCAGTTGGCTATTCCCATGAGCTCTTTCCTGTCTGATCACCCTGCCTGGAGGTCAGCAGGAACTCTCCAATATGTGGATGAGAGCCAACCAGCTAGTGGGAGTAGACAGTGTTGTTCCCACACTAAACATGAATCCTCCACATGCAGGGGTGAGCTGAGGTCCTCCATGTATGCTCAGATGCTCATGGACCAAAACACACAGGTTCCTCACTTCTAGGGACTATTTTGTTGCTGCTTATGATAGTAGCTGTCACCCCAAAGGAAAAAGCCTTGGCCTAGGCTTCCAGCACATGGTGACTTTAGAAAAGGTCTTCTTCTGTCAACGGGGACAATAATGTAACTCTCCCAGGGATGCTGCACAGTTCATCTGAGTGCAACCATTTACGTTGTCAGAAACTATCACTGTGCCCTCAGCTGTTGCTCACACCTCCGTGGGAACCTGAGGCTCAGTCAGCCCTTTCCAAGTCTGCTGTCACCCTTCCATACACGTTTGCCCCTCATTTCCAGGAGCCAAGGAAGAGATTCATATACTCACAGAATTACCTCTCAGCTATGGTGGAGCCTCAAGATTCTGAGGAAGAGCAGAAAAGAGCCAAGAAGAAATGCCACCAACCCTGGCTCACAGCCAATGGATTCCAAGTGACAGGTCTCCGTAGCAGCACTGAAAGCGACCACCACCTCAGGCTGCTGCCCACCGGCACCACAGAGTTCACTGAGGTCCATGGGGAGGAGCAGGGGCTTAGGTGAGGTGTCTCTAGAGACCTTCCTCCTAACTTCCTGTTCCCAAGTTAGAAATGGAGGGAGAACACACTGTTTGCTAATGTGCTGGAGCCTGTGCTGGATCAAGGGTGGTGGATCTGGCACCTGCACCACCAGTACTTTGATCTGTACAAAAAGCCACCGCCTTTCCTCCAGCTGCCCACTACTCCAGCACTGAACACCATAACAGGTAACAGACGAGGCGTTTGCAAAGCTGAGCCTTCAGGTGCAGTGGACAGGCAGTGACTCTGTGCTGCTTTCTGTCTTCAGTAGTGTCCATTTTGTTACAGATACTCATAACTGGAAGTCAAAATTCAGAACGGGTCTGGTATCACAAATTGTATGCTGGGCTGGAACTCAGGAGACCTGGATTCTAGCTGCAGCAGTAATACTAACTTGCTATGTGACTTTGGGCAGGTCTCTTCATTGCGCTGGGCCTGGTTTCTTAAGTATGAAATGGGAAGGTAGAAAACAGATCTAAGGGCTTTCTGAGCTTCAACACTATTAGTCATGACTGGTCTCTGAAAGCCCAGTCAACAGCTGGGGGCAAAAGCTCTGGGCTACACTGGGACCTTCTACCTCCCCTCTACCTCAAGACAGTGCCACCTCCCTCTGTGGGGGAGACTAGGGTCTTCATACATTGATCCCTCTGAGTCCTCTTTTTCTTTCTCACCCTTTGTTTGTGAAGGACCTCAAAATCATTTATAGGTTGATGAGAACCCAAACTGATTGGTTAACAGAACTAGAATTTTTGTTAGGGGAGAAAGAGATGGGCTTATCTGGCAACAAAGTTTGCCAGAGAACCCTTTCTCAGAAATCAAGATGGGATGAGTAGGATGGATTTCTTCCCTCCCCCGACTCCAAAGGGCAGCTGGTGACAGCTCCACGAAACAGGAGGAAGTGCTGAAAGCTGCTGAGATTTCTCTGTCCCCTCACTTGGACATTGCTGTCTCACTTCAGGACAGGCCCCAGGCTCAGGGGCTGTGTGAAGACCTCCTGCTACCTTTGGTGTGCCCTGGGCTCAGTCATTGCTGTGGTACAGCCCAGGAATGAACGCCAGGCTTCCTCACTGGCCTGAGTGCGCTGGCAGGCTCGCCTGCAGGCCTTCCCAGCTCACGTTCTCTGGGTATCTCAAGTAGCCTGTGCATGTTGCTGAAAACATATAGCAAGTAAATGCAGGGGCCTTGCCTCTTCACAACATGTTTAAGAAAAGCTCAGAAATGGCAGATGAAAAAGGGAGACTTGAACTGGTGGCCTCAGCCTTTTAAACTCAACTGGAGGAAGAGAGAGCCTGCTGTTGACACGGGACTTGCACGCTACCAGGCCTAGTGAAGCCCCCTTTCCTGACTGTTAGCCAAGAGGGCAGGGTCTGCATGCTTCCTGAGCCTCCCCCTGCAGTGGCGCTCCATGCACCTTTGTTCCCTGGCCCCATGTGAGACATGTATTCTCCATTTTGTGCGAAATGCCTCCTTGCCAATAAAATACTTTAAGAACTCTGAGTTTCATTGGAAAGTTATTTCCAAAGTCACAATATTTGTAAACTTTAACCTTTAGAAGATCAGCTTTCAAAAACCCTGGCAGAATGTTCAGGCAACCCCATTAAGCCAGCTCAGGTGTTAGCATTCCCAGTCTTCTGCCTATTTACAATATTCTCTCATCACAGCAGATTGTGACTTATACTTAGAGGGAGAGAGCCTGGCTTCCTCCTCCCACCTAAAGGCAACACCTACAATGGGCTTTTTTAGGGGGGGGGGCCCCACACCTTCCAGGAACCAGACCAAAGCCTGAAACTTTCCAGCATGAGCATGCTGGGACCCAATACATCTAGCAAGTAAGGAGCAGAAAGGAGCCTGGAGAAATGCAATGGCCTGTTAGTGCCACCTAAAGATAACTTTTTCCCCCTCATTTCAAGAGTGGAGGCCAATCCTTGCAAAGAAAGCTGAGAGAAAGCCCAGGTGGGAACAGCTTGTGTTGTCATGTACCAGGCAATGTGGTTTTCCCCTCATCACCGGAGAAGGATTAAAGACAATGATTGTAACCCCCACAGCCCGCACTGGGCACCTGCTCCTCAGCTTCCGGGGCCTTTTTCTGGCAGAGTGAGGACAAAAGGGACTAGAAGGGTGTTCTCAGGGCCACACTGTCATCCATTAAAGGCTGGTTCTGAGGGAAAAAAACGTGACTAGTACAGCAAACACTTGAAAGGTGAACACAAACTGTGCCATTTAATATTATTGTTTGTTCAGTGGTTCCTGGTACATGTTTGAAGTGCATTTTGCTTCTAGTCTGAATGAACATGTGCACAGCTTTCAAGCTGTTTATTGGAGAATGTGTGGCCTAGGAGAAATGGCTATCCCTGCCTGAACCAGGTCTGCATAGCCCCATGCCATGGGGTGGTAGCACAGGCCCCAGTTTCCACGGTGAAGTCTCCTAACTAGCAGCATGTCCTCAAATCACAGGTCTCAGCAATTCCAGTCTGTCTGTCCCCGTTCAGAACATGGGGTCACACAGGCAGCAATGCCCATAGGTCAAAGCCTAGAAGAGACTTCCTCAGCTGGGAGAAGGACCTTCAGGTGGAGACTGGAAAGAAACGGTTCAATTTGAAGTAGCTCCAAGTTCTATTATTTTCTGTGAAAAGAGTGAGAGTCGTCTAGCAAGGGACTATGGCCTGGGGGCTGGCGGCAGCAGGGAGCACCCATCTGTGCTTCAGGATATCTGGTCCAGAGGGTGGGCACAGATGTATGCTCGCCTCTCTAGGACCTGCTGGGACACTTTCTTGATCTGTTCATCTAGGTTTTCTGGAGAATCTGGGAGAAAAAGAGACAGTGGATGATCTTTCTGTACTGTCATAATAATATTACTGGAGCATTTTTCTCCCCAACAAAATCAGCCTGTGGGTAACTCCACCAGCCTTCCGAACCTCCAGGAAGTGATTCTAAGCTGCAGACAGAGGCTTCATTCTGAATAACAAAGGACTTATCTTGTTAATCCCTAAAAACTCAAGATCTTGTGGGAGTAGGAGAAGGCACTTACTCACTAAAAGACCCCTTTGTGATTCAAGCCTATTGCAGAGGCTATTTCTTCACAGTGGAGACAGCATAGTCAGCCCCCATGGAGGGTGCCTGGCCAGCACCCTCAGTGTAGCTAGGAGCGACACAGAATTACGTGCCCTTCTCCACTATCTCTTGGCAACAGGGTTGGGCTCTACAGGGGACATATGACAGGAAGGCTTGAGGTCAGCGGGAGTGTAAGAGTCGGAGATGAACTTGAGCTGCACATTCTGAGACATGGCCATAAGGCTATGGAAGAGAAAGCGCATTCCAGATAAACTGAGCAGCACAAGCCAAGCCCCACATGGCCTATGTCCGCAGCTGGGGACATCTGCAGGAGAGGAGCTCCATTTCCGCTGCAGTGCAGGGATGAAGGGATGAAGCTCCCAGGGCAGATGCCAGTAGGGCCTACCACAGGGCTCTGACAGAGTTCCCATCTGCAGGTGCGTGCTCCTGCCAGGCTGGCCTTGCTGCAGGCCCTGGGAGCCGGACAGGGTCCAGAAACAATGTCAACAGTGGCCTGGAACCAGACCCTCTCCTCCCTCCCCCAAACCACCCTACTCACACTTGTCCAGCTGAGACAGGGTGAAGAGATTCTGGGAATAAGCTTCCGCGCAGAAGATGTTGGCCAACAGAACCTGCCAGAGTCAAGGTTGGACAGAACCCTGGGACCTCTGGGCCATGGGACAGCCCATCCCTGGATTCCGACCTCTGAGCGTCAAAGAACGATTGGGCAGCTTGGCTGGGGTTAAGAGGCCTGGCTCAGAAGTCACACAATCTCAGCTTCTAATTCCAGCCCTGAGCCAAACGAGCTCTGTCCCAAGGGCAAGTTACTCAACATCTCAGAGCCTCCGTTTCCTCCCCTGCAAGAGGGGTCATAATTCCAGTGGCTGTGGGCTACCGTGGGACAATGCACGTAAAGACAAATACACAGCAGGCACTCAGTGACTGCACCCACCTCCTCCAGCAGGGTGAGAAGGGAAGACAGGGTGAGGGTGCTGGGTTTGGGACCCTGTCACTCACCCACCCTCTTCTCTCAGGTAGGAAGAAGAAAGGGAGCGGCCCTGTGTCCTGAGCAGCATAGACCCTCCCATTGGAGCTGGCAGGGCCCACCACAGGCCACAGCCAACATGGCAAACCTGCCAGCCTGCAGATCAGCTGCTGCATGGAACCTGCACTTCATTCACTCTAGATCACAACTGGGTGCCGAGGCCCTGGACTTGCCTAGCCCCTCGCACCTGAGACTCCCCACCTGGGTCATGCAACCCAATGAAGGGCCCCTTCCCCCAACCACCAGGTTTCATTAAAGTACAGTAGGACAAAGCCAGCCAGAGGCTGCCTGTGTGGGGGCAGGGCAGGGGAGGGGAGGGCAGGGCAGGGCAGGGCAGGGCAGGGCAAGTCAGGACAGGGGAGGGCTGGGCAGGGCAGAGCAGGGGAGGGCTGGCTCACCTCATGGTCATGGTTCCGGAGTCCTGCTCGCATGGAGCGGCTTGCCCGAGACAGCACAGCCGTCATGCCGTACAGGTTGATGAGGATGTTGGCCACCCGCTTCAAGACCATCTGCTCCTCCACGATGGTCTGGGGACACAGAAGCCCAGGTGGAGGCCCATATCCTTGGACCCCACATGCACAGCCCCTCCCTGGGCACATCTTCACCCATCTCCTAGACTCACGTCTCGGGGGAGGGGCTAATATTGCCTTTTCCTGCAGGAGGTGGGCTCATGGCCACCTTCTGTTTTCCAACTTCACTGTCTCGATTTGGGCAGGGGTCAAGCCAAGACCAGGTCCCAGGAACCTGGCTGAGACCAGAGGCCAGTGCATCTCCAGCAGCAAGAGCCTCATAGATCAGGTCCCAAGATTCAGGCCCCAGTGGGGCTGCCCCTTCTGAATGAAGGGAGACCCTCTTCACAGCAACAGCCTGCCCTGCCTCCCCACCTCACCACTCCGTGGTGACTGAGATTTCTTTCTCAGCCTGGTCCCAAAGGTGGACACTTGGTGAAACACCATCTCACGGATGCTGGCCCCATCTCCCTGACCCCCAGTAAGAGGGCCTACCATCCTGAGGTCTGCAGGGGCCTGGGTACCTTGCCAAAGCGGAGCAGCAATGTCTCCACAGTGCGGCCAAAGTAATAAACATTCTCCTCAAGCTTTCTTGCACTGTCCTGGGAGGCCAGAGGAAAGGATTCAGTTCAGCACCTCCGCCATGGTGACCTTCCTGTCCCACCAGCACAGGCATGGCAGGGGCTCCAGGGCCCAGGCCATAATACCATGCTGGACTGTTCTCCATCGTGACAGGATAGAGACAAGGGACATCAGCTATCCCTTAGACTGGCTGGTCCTCCCCAGTGCCCCTGGTCACATCCCTTCTGGGAAGGAGATATCCAACAGGTTACACCTTCTGGGCTCACTTACCGCAACACTGGGGTGCACAGCTCCGAGATTTCCCGTCAGCCCCAGGTCCACGGTTCGACCCAGGGAGTCCCGAAGCCTGCAGCCGATGGTCTCAAGGACAGTGGTCATGTTGCCCCGTTTAAGCTTACTGCAGAAAGCCCATGGCCCCATAACCCAAGGCCCCACTGCTTCTCCCACTACCAGCAACATGACCACCCCCCTGGTATCCCGGAGCTCTAGGGCATCTGCTTCTTCTCTCTGACTATGCAAAACCGTAAAGGGCCAATCCAGTTCCTACGTGTCCCTCCCCGATCTTGGGTGTGCTGAACACCTGGCTGCAGGCTGAATCCTTCCGCACTGTCAGGGAGCAGCCAGTGTCCTCTGAGGTGCTCCCTCCAACAAGTTACTGAGTCACAAGTTGTTTCCAGGTAGTTCTCTCCCAATGAGCCGTTTGCAAAATGCTCTGAGCGCATCCTGGGCTCCAGCACTGATCTAATTGTTCTGGCCCCAGGGTGGGGGTCATGAGGAGCAACAGAGGAATTAAACTGGTCTGTTGGCCTTGAAGCCCGGCAGCTATTTCAGGGGTACCTCTCATTCCCCAGCTTATGAAAACAGTTCCCTGCGACGTGAGAGACAGGAGCTACCAGGGGACTAACCATAGGGCAGGCATGGAGGGCTTCCCTGAGCACTGGACCCTCCTGTCACCTTCAGGTGAAGATCAGGCTCTGCAAGGCTGCACTGCTCCACCCACCTCTTGCTGCCCCAGGGGGGACCCAAGGAGCAGAGTGGGCACGGCACCTACTTGATCCTGGCAGTCAGGATGCGGCCGGCATACTGCAGGCCTGTCAGGGCGATGTACATCCGTAGGATCTCGTTGGTCCCCTGTGGCCAGCAGTACAGAGGTCAAAGGCTGCCCATGGGCAGCCCCAGAAGTGCTGCATGTGTGATTGCCCATTCCACCGCCGCTCACCCGCACTGTGGAAGCCACTGTAAACAGGGCCTTCTATAGCCTTCTACAGCTTCCACTGTCCTCATAGTCAGATCAAAGGTCCTCTGCAACCTGGCTACTTATGTCCCCTTCCATCCACCCTTTACCTACTTCAAGACCTGCCTCAGCCCCACCCAGCAGGACTGGCCACTATTCTCACAAAGACTTGCTTATTTTACCTCCATTCACCTAGTTAGTGCTGGCAAGTAAGGTGCCATCTGGGCCTGGCATGTTTTATTTCCCTGCTCTCGGCCCAAACTGCCCACCACAGGCCTGGTCAAAGTCCTTTCTGCCCCCAAGGGCCAGGTGCACTTGCTTTGTGAGACTCCAGCCCCTCAGGAGAGGCACACCTGTCCCTCACACCCTGGGATTCTGGCTTCCTCCTGGGTCAGTCAGGCCGTGCAGTCAAGACCACTAACACCCCAAAGGTGGGCTGGTGCCTGCAGTGTCTCTGGGGCCCCAACCCTCTTTCCCCCCCTGGCTTGGGTCCCTCCTGGCACACGTTTAATGAACTGACTCTAGGTTTGTGAACTTAGGGGGCATGGCAATTCAAGACTAAGAATGCCAGGCCAGGAAGCCCTCAGACACGACCCTGTTAAGCTATCTCAATATACCAACAAGAAAACCCAGACCCAGAGTGAGCATTAGAGGTCAAACCCAGGCCTCCAATGAGAAGATCTCTGCTTGTTCCACCACAGCCAGCAGAGGCAACTTGGCAAAGGGCTGTGGCGAGTTGCCAGGAGGAGGCGGGCTACCAGGATGTGGTGGGCTCAGCAAAAAGGGCCCTTGGCAATGAGACCCTGCGTGAGCTGCTTGGTCTCTCTGCCTCAGGCTTCTCGTATAGGCAGGGGTGTGAAGAGGGTCAAATGAGAGAATGCACTAGCCAGCTGGGCCCACAGCAGAGTGAGGCACGGCTGGCAGCAGGGCACGTACCTCAAAGATGAGCAGGATACAGGCGTCACGCAGCATGCGCTCATACGGGTACCCCTTCATGTAGCCTGTGCCCCCCAGGATCTGCAGTGCCTCACTCATGCACTGCCAGGCGCCCTCTGAACTGAACACCTGCCATGGACCCGAAAGCAAGGTCAGCACAGACTTGGCGGTGCCAACTCCCTTCCAAAAGGAGGACCTCAGGACGGGGGTGGTGTGGCTGCGGAGGAATGGGAAGCTCAGTACGGAGACTGGGCTTTGGGATGAGACTAACCCAGGCAAAAGCCTGAGTGTCACAGTCTCCCTGGGTGACCTCAGGCGCCTTCCCTGACCACACTGACCAGCTGTGGCTAAAGAGCTTTTCTCAGCTTCCATCTGGCTGTGCTGGGATTACCTTCACTATGGCAGCCTCGATAGAGCAGTCAGGAAATCCTGGCTGGTCCAGCATCCCCGCAGTGAGATAGGCCATACTTTCCATCACATAAGCTTTCTGAGCCATTAGGGCAAACTTTTCCTGGAGTATTCAGAAAAAACATGATCAAAAAACAATTTACATGTGCTGAGACCCAAATCTGCCAGCCAGCAGAGAAGGTGATTAAGTCCAAAGCCTCAATGCACAAAAGAACCAAGCCCCATGCTCATAAAAGGGAATCGCATGAAAGAAAGCCTTCTCTTGTCCTCTTCCCCAGTCACCGCACAGGAGTCACTGGAACAGACAGCAAAAGCACACTTCTAAATGTCCACAGAGTAAAATCAACAAAATGCCCCTTATACGGAGCCTTCAGTACCTGAATTAATCCAAATTCACTGAGGTTCCTGTTGAACTGTTTCCTCGTGCAGGCATATTCAGCAGTCATTTCTAAAGAAGACCAGAGATTTTAAAAAGAACAACTTTCTGGTTGTCCTAAGATGATTTCCTAGGGCTATCATCCTTACCTTTCAAACACTCGGGCAGAAACTATGTGAAACGGGTCTATTGAGACCAAATGCCCTAAAGACAGAGCCTCCTCTTTCTAGCGCATCTGGGTCAGAGGAGCGACTGTCCACTCCTACTAGTGTTGTCTACAGTGGTGGACAGAAGTGGAAGCGCAGAGTTTGGAGTCAGACACAGGTTTCAATCGGGCACTTTTTCTTACAAGCAGGTTGCCCAGGCCAAGCATCTTCATCTCCCTGAAAAAACCACCAACCTCTCAGGGTTGTTGTGGAGATTACATGGGATACAAGTGGGAGGCATCTAGCACAAAATTGGGCCCACAGAAACACCCTAGGCAGACATCAGGGCAGGCTCACATCCGCCACAGCTGTTCATCATCAAAGAAGGAAGGTGGTCTGTTTTGAAAACTCGGGCCTCTGACTTCAAAATGTATAGTTGTGAACACATGCTGCATAGTGGCCCAGGTCTGAAGGCACCCAACTGAATATGGCAGCATGCTGCCCATTTAGCTGAACCTCGCCCCCTACAGTGTTCTCCAAGCACTTCCACAAACTGCTCCCCATGGTGGGCCTCTAAGGTAAACAGGCACCCACATTCACACATTTCCGGACTTGGGATCTCTTCAGGGGTTTACATCCTTCAGGGAGAGGCTGACCATGAGAGCTCTTACACTAAGGACCTTTCAGATGGGGAAGTGCAGAGGGCTTCCAGGCTCTGGGGACAGCTCAGCACAGTGACATAAGCCCTGAGCTTAGACTCTGGCAGTGTTGGCTTTCAGGTCAGGTATAAGACCTTGGACAAACCACTGACCTCTGAGCCTCAGTCTCCTCATCTATAATAATGGAGGTAAAAGCCTAAAACAAAGCCTTCCTGTCCCCACCTAGCCCTGAACTCTGAGGAACTTTCTAAGTACTCGGTGGTATGCTGGCCCAGGTAACCCCCACCGTCTGCAGCCAGGGCCCCTTGCATTTTCCTGCAGCCACTTCCACAAAGCTGACATGGTAATGACATTCTGTGCCCAACAAAAACCCTGTAAGTTCACTGGCAAAGAAAATCCGAATTTCGGGTCTCCTAAAAGAAAAAACAAGAAGCTGAGGGATCTAGGTTCCGAACCTGATCCCACTCCTCACCCACTGTGCTGAGTCACTGACAAAATGGAGATCGTGTGAGAATCTGGCTCACATCTGGATGTTCACGAAGTAGCTGTGATAGCAATGTCCACATCCCCTTTCCCTTCCCCTTCCCCTTTGTGAATAGGTAAAATAGAGGAATGCTGAAACATGAACACTGACTCTTTGGAGACAGACCGAGCATGTTCTTTGGTCTAAACCAAAGCCCAATCTTAAACCTGAGCAGATCCTAAACTTGAATAGGATCATTTGTCCTGCTGGACTGGCTCAGCACTGGCCTGTCCCGGCCGGGGACGTGGCAGAGCCTCCAGGCTGCAGTGGAGGCAGCAGGTCCAGGCTGTGCTGCAAAGGGCTCCTATTCCCAACTTACCTACCGATCAATTTCTTGAGCATCCCGGCCACAAAGCTGCCCGTGCTGAACCTCCCGCTGTTGAGGATATTCATGGCCACCTGTGGAGAAGGCATTGGTGGGTAGCTCACTGCAGCTCCGACTCCTGCAGTGGCCCGCTTACACACACTGTGCTGGGAAAAAGCCCAAGGGCCTGCAGGACCACAGGTGACAGACCACAACAGTGCTTATCTATTTTTACCAGAAGGTTTGAAAACAAAAGGCAAGTCTCTGGAGAATTCTGTGCCAGTATCTGGGCAGTTAATCATCCTGCCAATCCTTGCTGAGCAGGAAGAGAGCACAGTCCCAATGCTTCAAAACAAGGTCACTCCGTTATTGTTATAGTTCTCACAAACATCCTTGGAGTCACCCCCTCTCCAAAAGGAACTGGACAACCTCATTCCAAAAGAACAGGTCAATTCTTAGTCCTCAGGGGAGGGAGGAGACACTAAGATTTACTGGGTGCATGCTGCAAGCTACCCCAACTTTTGCAAGAATGCTTCAGCATCCAGAATCTCATCACAGAGGAACCGAGGTTCAGAGTGGTGACGATTCTCCCAAGGTCACACAGCCAGCATCTGCTTGACATCTAGGTCTGTGCTTTCTGTGCTCAACCAGCCCCTTATATGGAGATGACATACTTCTCCATCCAATTCCTACAATAATCATACTTATAAGGAGCTTTGTCAGCTTCTCTCCCCTTTTCCGATTTTAACTTCCTACCTAGTACAGGTGAGCAGCCAGTGATGAGGGGCAGGCACACACCTGTGTTCACACACTGTTTCCTGATAATGACCTATCTAGATTCATGGAGGCATCCCCTTACAGACCACAGGGGCAGAGGCAAACAGGCAGTCAGTGGTGTGATGGTGGACTAAAGGGGGGTGAGGAGATGTTGGGCAGCAAAGGTTCCTAAGGAGATCCCTGAGCTGGGTCTATCCGGGTATCAGGGGAGGAAGGGTATCCAGGCAACCAGCACAAGCCTCCTGAAGGACAGCTGTGACTTGCCAAGCCTCTGTTCAAGCCCATGATGCCCAATTAGGAGGCCTCAAAGGCAAGGCTGGGGTCTGTAGGAAGAAAGGAGCCTGTGACTCTAGTTTTCCTAAAAGCTCAACTGCAAATTCAGTACTGCTTTTCACAGATTGCATATGTGTAACCTGCATTAATAAAACATGCAACTAAATTAGTATTAATAATTACTTGTTAAATAAGTTGAATGGGAGAATCTCTCAAAACATATCCTGTGAGACTAGAGAGATGAAAACAACTGCTGCAAACTACGGGAAGGGCCGCTGTTGGCCCCAGCCACTCAGAGATGTGCTGGACAAGCCGGAACCCGTGTAAGGTCCAGTCCCCAACACTGGGTGGGCAGGGGCTGGGTTCAGTCTCACACAGTGTGATGCTCAGATCCTGCCCTACCTCCTCTTAGGGGCCCTCTAACCTCTAACTTCAGACTTTATATGTCTCAGGACATGGCAGGACACTGACCAAATGGCCTTTCAAAAGCCAGCTCATAGTTTTATGAACACAATTCACTTAATAGCCCCTTCATAGTTTATTCTTAACTTCATTTAAAACAACAGAAGAATAAATACAGGAACAAAAGCATTTGACACTAGGCCTCATTCCCTGCAGATTGAAGACCTGATAGGTTTAGCTTTATCTGAAGGGCTCTTGAGCTCAGCATGATCTTCTTTACCTCCAAGTCCTCCTGCCTCTCAGCACTTGCATGCTTTATTACCTTCTCTACTGCAAAACAGCTTCCTTCTATAATTTCTACAACTACAGTCTAATCTGTTTGCCCAGAAGCAAGATGCAATCCATCTTTCAACAGCCCCTGTGTGGTTAACTGCCTCTCTGCCTTAAGAGGTCTGACTATTGATAAAACCTTCTGACTACCCCAGAGGAAGAAGCTCTTTTATCTCACATCAGCCACTCAATTTTCACCTGGCTTTTGATCATTTTGTGATCTCTGAAATCACTCAAGTGTATCACATTTTTTAGCATTTAGGCTAACCGGCAAACAACCCCACCAATAAAACAAACAAACAACAACAACAACAAAAAACAGGCTATTATAAATCTATTTTCTTTTGAATATTGAAACAACAATTATTTTTCACCTAACAATGGAAAAAAATTTAAGTGCAGTGTTGGGAAGGACTAGGGACAGAGGCACCTCCATGCTGCTGGAAGGACAGACACTGGTCCAACTTCCCAACAGGCAACTTGGCAACATGGATCAAGAACTTAAAAATGTTCACGCCGGGCCAGCCGAGTGCCTCAGTTGGTTAAGAGTTAGCTTAAGAGAGCAAGCTCTGAGCAACAGCGCTGCCGGTTCGATTCCTACATGAGCCAGTGACGCTGCGCCTGAGCTGAGCTGCCGCTAAGCTGTCAATAGGTGCCAGGATGGCTCAGCTGGTGAGAGCATGTGCTCCTAATAAGACTGCCTGTTTGATGGACTATGCCCGCCCGCAACTAAGACTGAACTCAGCACTTTGAGCTGGGCTAACGCCCGGATGGCTCAGTGGATAGAGCCGCGCTCTTAATAACAAGGCTGCTGGTTCGACTCCCACATGGGATGGTGGCTATGCCACCCGCAACTAAGACTGAACTCAGCACCTTAAGCTGAGCTGCTGTCCGGATGGCTGTGAATAGAGCACGCACTCTTAATAACAAGGCTGCTGGGTTCGAATCCCACATGGGATGGTGGCTATGCCCACCTGCAACTAAGATTGAACACAGCACCTTGAGCTTAGAGGCCACAAGCTGCCGACAGGCAGCCAGATGGCGACTGGCGCCCTCCACAACTAAGATTGAAGAACAACAACTTGGCTGGTCTCCCTCCCCAATTCCCCAACACTGTTCCCCTCCTCCAGCTCCCCAGTTAAAAAAGAAAAATGTTCACACCTTCTGGCCTGGTAATTTCATTAGTGGTGTTTAAACTAAAGAAATAATTAGACTGGTGTGCAAAGGATATATATAAGGATATATGCAATGACGGGATGTGGGTTTGAGTAGAGAAGTGAAAACAATGTTAAATTCCCGATCCTGGGAACCTGGTAACACTAAATAAATGTGGCATCACTGCAAGAAGAAATACTATGTATCATTAAACATTAGCAATATACATTTACTAGCATGAAAGGATTATTATGTGGACCCCGAGAAGATAGATTCATTTGAGAAGGAATTCATCTGACTCCCTATGGTCAACCAAGGACTCAAGTTTTATAAATAATGAGAGTCTAGGAGCCATTTGCTGACAGGGGTTCCTCATGCACTCTGTAACAGCAGGTTAGAACCTTAGACCAAACTCTCAGCTTCTCGCACTATGCCCCCACTTGTTTATGCTGTCTGAGTCAACACCTGCAGGGCAACCCTGGTTTGTCTTTCTACCAACAGACTGAGACCTGCCCCGTCCAACCAGACCTGCACAATGTGGTTCCTCATTTACATAAAAGACTTACTTGAGAACTTTTGCTATCAAAGATGGCCTCCCTTCTGTCTCCATGGAACACAATTTAGGTTGCTACCTGAATCTGTGTCTCCTTTTTACTCAAATTAATGTTTTTATTCTTCATTACAGTATAAAATTAATTTTGGTTTACATTAGAATTTATTAATGAAAAAATGCAGACGCTAATACAGAGGGTGCTGAAAAAACATATACACATTTAAGATAGGAAAAAACTGTATTAAGATTGCAATACTCAATATATACTGATAACAAAAGATGAATACAAGTCACATGTATACATTTTTTTGGGAACCCCGCTTTATTACACGTACGCACTGAATATTTAAGTGACACATGCTCTTTATAAAGCTCTAGATGATAAGCATAAAAAATGTGAACAGTGAGGGCCGGCTGAGTGGCGCATTGGTTAAGAGCTGGCTTGGGACGCCAGAGGGCCCCGGTTCGGATCCCACATATGAGGGCCAGTGACACTGCCCCTCAAGCAACGTCATCCACAACTAGGCTGAAGAACAAAAGGACAGGAACTTGTCTGTTCCCATCCCCCAATTGCCCAAATAAAATCTTTAAAAAAAAAAATGTGAGGGGAAGCATGTTAAAAACTAAAGTATGAGGTAGGCTCCTGGGGAAACGGCAAGGTACTTGAATTGAAAATGCTTATCTGAATGCTTACTTAGTAGCTGACATCTTTTGGCTGGCTAGCCACTATTGCTCAATGGCTGAGGCTTTGTGCTTATGGCCAAAGTGCACTGATAGGAATCACTTTGTAGGCCACAGGTATTCCGCATCAACTTTGTCCCCTAGAGCACTCTTCTCTTCACCTAGTACTGTCACTTTTAAAACATCAGAGTTCTTACAGTGCGGGCAGAGTTTTTACCCTTTAAGGGATGGAATAATGAGTGGCATAAAGGACATAAACATGATTACTGATGTAGGACTAACCAAATTGAGAATCCCTGCACCTATATTTAGATTTTTGAGATTCAGTATTTTTCAGTT